AGGGGGGAGGGGAGGGGTGGGGGGGAGGGGGGCGCATGTCATGGTTCGGTGGCGGCACGTCAGGCGAAAAACACAAAACAACCCGTCACACGCACACGACACGAGCAGCAAAAAATGAGCAAACAGACAACCCCACCTCCCCACCGCTGACTGGCCCCCCTCACCCAAACCACAATATACAAGCAGTCCCACCCCGCTCTTCTCGTCCTGCAATGGTCGTCGATGCCCGCTTCTCGTCCCGTCTTTTTTCTCACCTGGACCTCCGTCGAGAACCCCAACCCGGACAGGATGGTGGCTGCTCGGGCCTCCGCCGAAGCCGCGCCGATCTGTCCCAGGCGCCCGTAGATATCCGACAGTTTCGCCTCGTCCGCCGCCACTCCCGCAGCGTCATGGTCGTCAGACGGTGTTGTTTTTCCCTCCTCCTCCTCCTGCGATTTCAAGGGGGGACCGTCGTGCACAACCAAACGTTGAGGTATTACAATAGAAGGGACAAAACGTCTCGCCGTAAAAGTGGGTCACTGACGCCCCCCCCCCCCGTGTGACCCGAAGCAAAGCCAATGCCCATGAAAAGGCAGATAAAACTCGTTACGGGCATACACGCTACTACAGCAGTGGCACCTTTGAGTCCCACCCCAAAACAGATTTACCTGGAGGGAACGTGGTGACGTGATTTTATCTCTACTGAGGACGCGATTTTAATCATCTCATTTACGCCGCCAACAATATCCGACCGATTGAGTGCGCCTCACTGTTGCTACGTTTTGTTGTACCTCGCATGTTGTCTGTGGAAAGCATGAGGCCTCAAAAACGATTTTTAACATTTGCATACAAGGATTCCCTCCGGAGTGGGCTCATGAGAGCACAGCAGCAGTGTAATCAAGGGGTGTGATGCAAGATGAAAATCAAGCAGGCAGGCAGGGCAAACCTCGAGCTGGCTGCCGGCTATGTTGTGACGTTTCCCAAGCTCAACAGCTCACACAGTTGACGTATTCTTGACTCAAACAGCCCAGCCAACCTCAACGAACCAAAAAGAAAACTGACAAATCTGTATACAGTCATAAACGCACCGCTATAATATGGCCGCAATCTGTGTATCACACGCCAATAGTTGTGAACAGTTTGTTCAACACGCCTCCTTGACGGGAGTGATGCCAGCTCCGAAGCGTGTCCTCGCTCTTCACCCTTCCTACTGCTGCACAACTATAATATTTCCCCCCCACTCCGTTTGTTTCCGAACACGCACCTTCCCCCCCCCCGCTCTTCGCGCCTGTCGGTCCAAGATCTCCTTCTCTTGCTTCATCAGCATCAGACGCTCGACGTCGCTATCCACCACCACCTGCAGCAGTCGCAACATCAACAACAACAACGACCATTTGGAAAGATTATTAAATAGCATGTCACGGCTCGTGGAAGGCCGGCACAAGTTTTATGTGCGAACACAACAACAGCAGCAGTGCTAACTACTGCACGCAACGTACGGAGGTCATCTCGTGTGCGTAGCCCAACCACCGCTGCTGAGGACCGCCGCAAGGGTTGAGGAATGAGGCATTTTTCCGGAATAAACGAGAGGAAGGCACACAGCAGTCAGTCAGTATTGTACGACGACAACAACAACGACAACAAAAAAATCACTATCACCGCCAACATTACCACCGCTGGCGATCCCTCAGACATGAACCATTGTCAACCCTTCGCGCATACGCTTCTGTATTCCAACAGCCCCCCGGCCTTGTCCCCATTCCCCCCTGTTCCCTGCCAAATAGGGTTTTACTCCACACCCAAATCACCCCTGCTCGCCTGAATGACGGTCTTTTCGCTGGGTTTGATTTCCTGCCGGACGTGCATAACTCGGTGGTGGCGCGGGAACCCCTCGATGTCGTAGGCCGCCATGTGCCGCAGCAGCGTCGTCTTACCCACACCGTTTCGCCCGATCAGGCCGTACTGCAAAGAAACGGGGCAGCGGCACCGGTCGGTTCGAGCCGCCCCCAACCGGACAAGAGAGGGAGAAAAAGCAAAGAGAAAAGAGCAGCGCAGCAGTAGCGGTGGTCGGGGTTAGAGCCACTCAAATCAGAGAAGAGGGAGGACAGCAAGCGAGAAGAGAAGGGCACACAGACAACAACGGTGGCTAGTATTTTTTCTGTGGTTGGGGGAGGAGTTGGCGCACCCCGAGGGAATCAAAAACCGATACAGTCAGGCAACGTTCTGATGGACAATTGCCACCAACACCGGAGCAGCTGGTCGCGCACTAGAAGAAAGCAGGTTAGGTCCCAAAAAATGCTTCAGAAGCACGGTTTCTGAAGACACAAGCTGGACATGACCTCGATGCCATCCCCTGGAAGAACGGGAACAAGGAGAGCGAGGTAAGTCGACAGGTGTGCCCCGAGCCCCAACCACAGCACGCAACCTCCGCGCGTATACACCAAGCGAAAAGGCAAGTACACCGGTTGAGGTCAGCCGGACACAACTCGGTAAAAAAGCACGAACACAAAAACACAAGAAACATATCAGCACGCCCGCACCCCCCCCCTCGCCCGCCCCCTGGCGTCCACACCACACCTTCCTCCCGTACGCCAGCTTGAGGTCGGCACAGTCCAGCAGCTCAAGCCCGCCGACGTTGATGTTGAAGTTCTTGACGTGTATGTCCTTCTCGTTGTTGCCGCTGCTGTAGTCCGGGAGAACCATCATGCTGATGTCCTCCTCGCCGTCGTCTGCTTCTGTTCCCGTCAGCAGCTCGATCTCCTGCACTCGTTACAGATTACGGGTACCGTCCGCAAGCATACCAAGAACACCCACACCGTAGGGGCGAGGGTTGGAGGACGTGCCAAACAGTTCATACCTGCCCGAGAAAATATTTGCATGCCCTGGTGCGCAGCAGTTTTTTCACATCTCTCCCACGGATGCTCGTGTGGTTGCCGCCCAAATGCCCGCAAAAGCCAGGGAAGGCGACGTAGCGATCGGCACCAACACTCGAACGTGAATACATGCCGGGGCACCAGCTGACTTCCCTACCTTTTATGAGTGTTGGGCCAATACCTCAGGAGAACAGATTTCGTCTACCTCTCGAGAGGGGCAACGCGTGAACATCACCAGTAGAGTGACTTTCATCGGATTCTTGACCGCGAGAGCTGCCCTCCCTGTCCCTCACCCCACCCCCCCCTTTCAACCTCTTCCTATTTCCCTCTCAAGCACTTCTCCCGCCAAGCGTACCTTCAAGAACGCGAGCTGTTCCCGTTCCGCTCTCCTCAGATCCTTCTTGCTCAAGTGCTTGTCCCAGTCCATCTGCTGGTTAAACTTATCCCGAACCTGCCCACACCCACACCCACGGCCAAGGGTACGCGTGACAAACACGGGGAAACAGATGTCGGCAAGGGTTCGCTTCGTTTCGTTTCGGGTTGACGTTGATTCGGTTCCTCCCTCTGTATGTTGACTTACTCGGTAAGCTTCGGGCCCGTTTTCAGATGGCCTGCTTGGGGATTCAGCTACAAATACAGCCTTGTATCCTTCCCTCAGGTTCTTCTCCTAGAAAGACCTGCACGTGCTGCTGCTGCCACCATGCGGCGGGAAAAGGGTGGTGCCACCGCCCGCCACGCTCTACTGTACCCGTGTGCTTCGTGCGGTCTGCGGTGCCCCCCCCCCTTCCCTGTAGGCATTCACACCTTGTCGGTGCCCCACATGAAGTCCAGCCCTTCTTGGTCGTTGCCCTCCTGGTCCTGAATCTTGACCGGGGCGTCCAGCAGGCGAGGGGCGTGCCCGTCATCCTCCTCCTTGTGTGTCGTGCTAGCGCCTTCCATGCCCAGCGCCTGCGTGGTTTCCACAGAAACGCCGCGTTGTTTTGAGGGAGGGCGTGTAAGCAGCAGCAGCAGCAGCAGCAGCTGCAACGAGCCATGTAGCTGGCGGAAGGATGGAAGCATCAGCGAGGATCTCTCATGCTTTCGAGGGAAGAGCACGGCGCTAGCAAGGAAACTCGTGATTCGAAGAAATCACAGCGCAAGCCTAGAAAAAAAAGTCAAAGGTAGACACCGTACGTGGTTCAGAACTCCTCTCAGACGTCGACAAAAGTCCTGAGTTGTGGCGATTCAATATTGGAACTTGAGTGTGAAGGTACCACTGCGAAAACCTAGCAAGGCCATTCCTGTGTATATGGCCGAATCTGCGTTTCTTCTGCCCCCCAATTTCGGGACGAGGTTTTGTGACCCCACGCATGCATTGCATGATAACCATGGCTTACAATGTAGCAGGGGGCCGAAATATTAAAAAACTGCCGTCTCACTCTCGCGGGTGACTACAGACCGAACCTGCGTACCCCCCATCCTCCCTCCCCCCCGGATAGCGGCCGAAGTCAAGGGTACCATGTGTGAGGTGAGAGCTTCGCCGATTTCGGCCGTCACGGTGATCGGGAGGCAGAAAGCCAAGGAGTGCTCTTATGTAGCTGTGAGGCACACCCGGCCAGCTAGGAGTGCTGGTACCAGCAAGCAAGAGCAACAAGTGATCCGTACCGCATAGAATGGTGTACTGCCATCGAGGAGCGTCGCTAGGACCAATCCCCGGGCGCGAGGGCTTCCGATCACACGTGCATACCACAGCTGTACGAAATATCCAACCACAATACGTCGTCAATAGACCCCTCCCTTCCACAGAATGCCGTCGATGCCTTGCCTCTCAAAGGCATTACCTGTTCCTTCAGGCGCTGTCTGTATTATTGCATCTGCACGGCCGATTGTGAACGGCGAACGAGTAAAAAAAAAAAAAAAACTTCAACATCCAGGTTGGTCACCTGCTGGAGGCTCTTGGCCAACGCTTGGCACTTCTCCTCTGACTCCTCATCGGTGTCGCAGAATCCGGAGCTCAGGAGAAACTGGCCAACCTGTAGGTGGCGGCGGCGGGTGGCGCGGGGAGACAGAAGAGAACCCGGCGGAAGGGGGTAGCACAGGGGTTGGTTCCAACGGGGAAGGACACCGGCCATGCAACGGAGGAACAAGTGTGCGAGTGCTGGCCAAGGCGGTGTGTGGTTGTAGGATGGGTGCTTGAAAAGTTACAGCAGTAAAACACGGTACTGTAGCAACCAATGACGACAGGTCAGGATGCCTTGGCGATAGTTGCGCCTGGGGACGATGTGGCAACAGCACTGCACCCAAACCATGTGTCGCGGCATCTACGCCAAGCGTAGAGGGTGGACCGTGGTGGTGTTCCTCACGGGTATGCTAATGTCCCGATAAATAGGCTCTTCTTTCGTGTATGCGTATGTATCGTAGGATCGTGGACATCATACCACCCAACGAACAAATAGCGTGCAGGTGCCGTTGCTGCGCGCGTACAAGTTGCCGCCCGCCCCCAATTTGTTGAGGGCTGAAATAGTGAATTGCGTTTTTCGGTGAGACATGAAGCATCTCGGTGCTTCGTTAACAGTTCTGCTGTGGACCGCGGAACGATGGGGCCGGGCCAAGGCGAAGAACTACAGCAGTACAACTACTGCTGTACTGCTCTCGTGCTCTCACGATATGGAAGAACAAACCCGACGCACGTCGTAAATATCCCGCATTGGCACCCGAAACGTGGTTTCTCTGCTGCCTCTGATATGTAGCGGAACTGGCACAGCTGCAAGGCAACGGATACTGACTGACTCCCACGCTGACGAAACAGAGCAGAGGATGTACATAGCTTCGGTGTTCGCTCTCGTTGGTAGAGGGCACCCACGCCCACGGAACGTCAACTTGTGTGTCACGTGTGCACCTGCATCGAATTGTGCATATTGTGCTTCCAGTACAACTCATTCAGGTGTCCGTCACCGCCATAACGTTTTCTGCTGGAAACGCAAAGGCACTCCTCTTGGTAAGATGCCGACAAACACTATACGCACCAGGGTAGACTACTGTGCACACGTGGTAGCTGCTGCGCTCCACGTGTGTTAGCTTGTACAACTCGCGCATATAGGCACAGCAGGGCCGCACAGGAAAGTTCTTATTGGGAGAACCCATCAGTGTCAGACGACAGCACAGCATCACACCAAACACACGATGCAACGTACCGATACCTGCAGCACACTGGACCCCAATCGATCCCTACCCACCACCGCGCATTTCCCTCTGTCTCTTAGAGTCTATGTCTCTTCTCTCTCTCTCTGTCGCTCTCGCCCTCACCGTCTCCGCTAGCGTCTCCGGATCACAGCCGTGCGCGTCTACATCCTTGACGATGCCAAGGATGTAGACGAAGATGTCTTCGTCGAGCTCCTTCACGGCGCCCAGCTGCTTCTCCACCACTGCTTCGACCGCTGCATCGCTGGACGACATCTGGTGCTACGGCCTGTAGCAACTGCCGTGTGTAGCTGGGCCCTGCGAGAGGCGCTGCGCTGGGCTGCCAAGCCGGTCCACCTTGCTTACTGTAGGGGGAGTATCGTGGGAGATCCATGCATCTGCGGGGCCCCCAAAGAAATACGCAGCCGCAGCCGCTGCTCAGCACTGCTGTTCTGCCTGCTTGGTTCGTTGCGAAGTCGACGCTTGTGGCAACCGAGACACTATAATGTTTGGCAGAAGTAGAGGCTTCCGGGGTTTCCGCCCACGAAATAGCACCCACCAGGCCCTGCACGTGGCGACTCTGACTCTGGTCGGTGTGGTATCAGGTGAGACGCTGTCTGGATACCACGACAAACTACATGTACAAGTAAACACAGCAGTGTACAGCGGTACAGCAGTGTAGTTGCTGCTGCATAGTACAGCTAGTAAACACAGCAGTGTACTACAGCGGTACAGCAGTGTAGTTGCTGCTGCATAGTACAGCTAGTAAACACAGCAGTGTACAGCGGTACAGCAGTGTAGTTGCTGCTGCATAGTACAGCAACTCGACGTCTCCACGTCTTACATGTGGACGTCTAGACCTGCATTCCACAACTGAGACACACACGGGGTAATGCTCTCCTACGATGTATGTGTGGTGCGCGTGGTATTTGTTTGCCAAGAAAATTCTATGTAACCCTCCCAGCTGCAAAGTACATTGTAGTCTAAATGTCATGCAGGATGAAGACATAGGTGAGAGATACGCCACACCTCACGCTACGATAGCGAAACCTATGGGAACAGGGAGGACTTTCGACTCGCCCACTGGGAGCGCATAGCATCTATTTTGAAAGATGTTTGTGCACAGAGGTGCATCATTGGCTATTTGATCAATGACACTACAGCCCGTGCTCCGTACGCAGAGTTGTGCCGACGCACCCATTAGAACCACACGCACAAGACACGGGCTCAGATGATGAACACATTATTAACGACAGCGTAAGAAATTTAGCTCACCTCCGGCATTGTGCTACATTCTGTATGGTAGATTTATTTCTGCAGCAGTAGCCTGTGTTCGCTCGTTTGAGACACACTACTACTGTACATAAGTACAATTTCAGGCCTTGGTCAAAATATGGTGGTGTTTCTTTGTGATGGGACAGCACATATGCATACGGTCGAATTTATGGCTTCGATACCCTTGTTGCTTCGGCCTCGTTTTCTCTGGTGACAGCAGTGCATATCTTGTGTTTCCTCCTTAGGGTACCGAGGAGAGTCGTCGGTACATTGCTCGCCAGGCTCCCGTGGCACGTGTATTCAACGCCTATAGTTGCGTGGGCTAGCTAAACTTCTCACAAGCTTGTTCCTCCGACGAGGGAGACCGGCGAAGCAGGATATTGAAAACCATTTAAAGTTCCCCGGCTTCAGAGGTTTGCCCAAGAAAAACCCGCCCGCCCGTTTAAAAAGTGTCTCCCGCTACCAACAACTGCAAGAGGTTCCGATTGCATGCAGCCGTTACTCACTCTCCTTCGGCATTCCTCCTGCCGTCACGCCCGTGAGCTCCGATGCCAACGTTCCGAGGGGGCACCTGGTACTGGCAAATTTACCAATTGTCTGCCATGTACCCCCTGGCTTACAGGGGTACGATGACAGAAAAAATGGCAGCTGCGGGTCCGACGCTCTTGGTGCATCTGTAGAACACTGGCGACAACCTCAGCGTTCCAAAGCAGTCAGGTGCAATGCTTGACGAGTGGTATCCCTGTTCTGCCACGCGCAAAGAAGCAACGCGTTAGCTCTGGCCGATACAAAGTCTATTCACACTTTGAGTCGGCAGCAACACGAAGACATCGAAGCACTGCCGTTGCAAGCGTAACCGTAAGGTTCCCCCGCACAGCCCAGCCTACAGTAGAGCAGGCTGTCTCGCGCATTCCTCGCTTCGTGGGAGCACACGGGCCAGCATGGCGTTGGTATCGGCTGCGCCACGTGAAACCGTGCCGGACCCCCCTGGGAATATCAATACAAAACGGGCCGGACTGGAACGCTTACACTTTCAACAACGTTGGGACTACAAGGCGATTACACCCAAGGCTAGATCCAGTTACGTCACGACCTCGAATAGATGTTCACCACGTCTGACCCCCCGCGTGTTTGATGTGTTTAAATCCCTTTCTAGGCTACTACATCTTCAACGAGCCGCTAAAAAAGGCGGTTGCCGAGGTCAAAGCCAAGGAAGCAGGGGAGCGCGCTGCAGCGGGAGGGGGGGGTAGAAGTCGCAGCGGTATTGACACCAACGGTAGTGATGGCGGCAGCGGCGTCAGCAGCAAAAGTACCAACGTAGAGGGTGGTAAGAATGCTGCACCGGCGGTGGCAGGCGTGGGGAATGGCAGATAGCGAGAGGAGATTTCGACCGCTTCGGGGCGTGTGTTGTGAGCGGGTTTTCGAATGGATGTTGGTGTTGGTTTCTATTGTTTGTACGTCGTAATGGCGCTCGTATCGGATATGGAAGGCCTTCTCAAAACAATGATTTGGTTTTGTGCAGCAGAATCAGGCATGCAGCATCTGCTGTGAACGTATTTGGTTGTTTACCTCTTGTTTGGTGTTGATATGCAGCCTATTGCTCTAGACCAGGAGGGAAACACCTGGTTGGTGCCAACGCGCAACAGTAGTGGTGTTGAAAAAATTGAAAAGTTACCTCAGGCCCCCTTTGTTCCTCCGGTACATAGACAGACGTGTCGATCCTGGAGTTTTTTTCCAGGAGATGGTGGAACGGGTTGGTTTTGCAGCAGCAAGGACCAGTGAAGCAGCACCGAGGAGATATCCTGCCAGTCCCTGCCATATTTCTTCAACACGACTGTTGTAGTTTACTGCTTCCTGCCACGTGCCCCCAATACGTTGCAATCCTTATCTCTCTCACAGTCGCATTGTCGCCACCTCCGCTCTGCCCTCCGCCAGCAGCATCAATCGCTCATTCCCGTTTGGGCGATGCTCGTCTGACCACGCAGGCCTTTGTACTTTTTCATCTCAAGTTCTGATCTTTCGCGACGGTTGACCTGCGCCTCCTTGCCATAAAATAAATTCCCTTGCCGGGAGCCCCGAACATACTGCGGGCACACATATTATAGTGTTTTTCAACTACAATACGGAGGGCAACAAATGCCGTGCGAGGATCGTCCCGGAATACCACCACGAATCAATAAACACTCCAGTTCTCCATGGGAGACCTGAAACGCCATAGACAGCAGTCACGTTTGTGAGGTTTACCGGTTCAATACCACGAGTATGACCGACAACCAGCCCACCGCGCGGGTCATCCACCTCCCAAAAACATATCGGGCGAAGGATGTTCCAGATCCATCCTTGACTGCACAAGGAAGATATACGTTTGGACTCCAACCTCACACGCCGCACACGACAGATCCCACAAGTGGGCCCCGGACAAATATGTCGTCGGAAAGCCAACCTTTCTGCGCAGAAAAATGCGTGAAATGTTATACTTCGAAGTATTCACCACACACAGATTGGGATGGAGAAACGATTACGTGTGCATAGTCTAGATCGAGCCTGGCTTTTTCTTTGCTAAGAAGGAAACTTGCCTAGATACCGATGCAGACACGGAGATACACATAGGCTTTGGTGCTGGAAGGGCAGACCTTGAGTCTTGTGTTTGTATGGCCGCAACTTGCCGCAACCTTAAGTGCTGCTTGTGAGTGCCGTCAACATGCAGCACACCTCAACACCCGAACCAACCTGCTGTTTATCTGAACACTGAAAAGACTCCACCACATCCGTTCGACTGTGGGTATATCTCGAATGGGTAGTCTTTCTGTGTGTGTTTTTAATTAAGGAATAATAAAAAGACACACAGAAAGACTACCCATTCGAGATATACCCACAGTCGAACGGGATGTGGTGGAGTCTTTTCAGTGAGTGGAGGAAAATTATTCCTTAACCATGCGCGCGATTCCAGAAGGCCCGAACCGGCACGGATTACACCGCGTGCTCAAACATCAACCCGATCAACGTTCAAGCTTGCACAAGAAGACCAACCGGCCTGCACCCCAACCTCTAAGGACAACGCACGGAAGGAATCCTCCAAGTATTGCATGCTTGAGAGATAAAACTTGCACATATAACTCTCTGAAATAGCTCGAGTTTGAGGACTCGCTCTTTCTGGCGGCGGTTGACAATAGATCGGGTGTTGCATTGAAACGGTGGATTGGCGATTGGCGGTCTTCTCGAAGAGCAACAGGAGACGCGATGACAACCTCGCCGCAATTCATGGCCCCTCCCATGGACGTACGAGTCCACGGATCCATTCCCGAAGGAACTGGTGACATCCTGACGCCAGAGGCCCTCAGGCAAGAGTTGATGTCCCCATTTTTTCGTGCAGATTGTTTTGAGAACAAATTTCTCAATTTCTGCGGCGTAGACTCATACTTCAACTCGAAGCTGTGAGCCCAATTTACGCGCCACTCCAGCTCCATTCTTTCTACAGGTAGATGAAATGTCGTTGTACTAAACTTCTACTCATGGACATACCCCTAATTTTGCACTGCTGATGTGGTAGGGAAATCAGGCAAGAACCCTCGTGGCCTAAAAATTCGTAGCTCACGTGATGGTATTTCAGTATGGTCTACTGCTGCGCTGTGCAGCAAGTATTCCGTAGTCTACGTTATTTTGTGTGGTCTAGATTACGGTCGATTACGCATGGCGTTCGTTTGTTAATCGAGTTTGTGCAACACTAAACCGATACTTATTATCCGAAACGACTTCTAGTAGCTCTTCGGTGTCGGTTTTGGATGGATTGTCCGTAAAATGTGGTTTGACAATACAGGAATTGACCCTTCCTCTCGGGGCATTGTCCTTTATCTCGTATACACAGAAGTGACAAACTTAAACTTGGTACAATACAAGCATTCTTTGTGCAGCTCTCGAGAAGACCCAAGCGGTACCGACGTGACAGTGAAATTGTCGAAGGGGCTCTCGCGATACCGTTCAAAGCGCTCTCCGTGCTTCAACGTTGGGCTTTCACCTACAGCAGTTTTCCAGGCACACGGCGGGAGCATGCACTTGTGTTGGTATCAACGTTCCACCTCTAGACTACAAGGGATAATTCACCTAACAGCATGCCTACCCCGCCGCTGAGAAGGGGTGCGTGCGATGCCGTAGAACCCAGAATAATTGCGTGCGAATGCCTTTGACAGAGTATGTAGAGAAACAGGGAGCCACGCTGTCCCGTCTCCTGCATTGCCATTCGGCCAGGTTCCTCGGAGTCCTGCACCAAAACTTTGAGCAACGCCGTCAGCAGCTCCTACGCGCGCGAGAGACAAGGTAGGAGAACGAACGGCGGTGGTATCTACTACAGTACCATTAATCACGTTTGTTTTACGGCGTATTTTCGATAGAAGATGCAGTGTTTATCCCGCTGGTTTCCTTGCTGAAGGGGGGACGCCATTGATGTCTTGAGTGAAGACCCTCCGTTACCGAAACGCAAAACGATCTCGTCAGTGTGTGTGGTTGTTATGTGGTTGCTCCTAGTCGTGGCGATGTGGCATATCCACGAAATATGTAGCTAGCTCTGCAACCAAGGGGGAAAGACGGGGGGGTGCACCAAGGTATTTTTCGCATGGTAAACGTGGGTTCGGTACCACCTCGTACCATGAGGGTAGTTCGCCTTTGGTTGTGGGCCTTCGGATGTATGACTTTCGCTCGGACCCTCGCAGGCAGAAGGAGTTCGACGCTGGCGTTTTGCCGGACTTCTTGCCCGAGACCAGGCACGTCCGAGATGACCCTTCCTGGCGGGTGAGAAGAACAAGCACGCATACGATCGAAAAGCATGCTTTTTGACGAGTGTCCCTCCATTGGAAACACCGGCAGGCTTTTGTTGCGGTTATTTTGCCAGTGTGTAGAGAGGGAGGTTACGAGGGCTGCTTCGAAGCAATGCCTTTCGTACTCTGTTGAGTCTCCCTTGGATGATCCCCTGACAAACAAGCGGGGCTACGAAGTAGTATCATGCTTTTCTGCCAAAACACGGAGGCTCTACGCGATGAAAGATCTGGCTCGGAGTAGGAGAGCATAGGGTGTAAAGTGCACATTAATCAGGACCGCATCCGGACCCCTGTAACGCCAAGCAGTAGCTCTACTATGGCACACACGTTGCACACACGCTGCCATGCATGAATGCCTAAGCTCAAACATCTGGAAACGGCGCTGAAAGTATTTCTTCGTCAGGGGGTTCCTCCGTCCACTTTACTCCCCGTTAAACTTCATACCATGGACTCGTTTCTCGGGACCCCGTGTAGAGAAAAACTCCCGCGCGCGTGCGATTTGGACCTTTCTTGGTTTCTCTCGGCCCCGCGCTTGACACATGAACGCACGATGACCCAGGTGGCGGAGGCGCCGGCCGACCTGATGGACAGGCGCGTCGAGATCACCGGCCCCGTGGACCGCAAGATGGTGAGAGAGAAAGAGAAAGAGAAAGAGAGAGAGAAAGAGAGAGAGAGAGAGAGAGAGAGAGAGATTCGACTCAACTCCCGCCTATTTGTGTACTCTGCGGTGCCGCTCTTTCGGTGAGGTCCTCGAGTCGCCTTAAGTGTATCTCCGCTAGGTTCTGTGAACGGTTCTTCCTGTGTGCGGCAATGACGGTTCATGTGGTGCGTAGTTGCTACATTGTTACCGGTTTCCGCGGATTTGGTCTCGAGTTTCCTGCTATAGAAGGCCATTCAAAGGACACTATCCTACTATTCGAAGGACAGTCATCTACAGGTGTGAGTTTGTGTTCTCGTTTTTTTCAATGTTCTCACATGAGCGAAAGCATTGGCGTTCAGAGTTGGTCCAACTTCAAGTGTGCACGCGTATGCGTACGCCTATCCATCGGCACATAACCGGCATCTCGGCGCGCGTGCGGCAGGTGATTAACGGCCTCAACAGCGGCGCCAGCACGTACATGGCGGATTTCGAAGACTCGAGCGCGCCCACGTGGGTCAACATGGTGGGTTGTCGTTCGTCAGAGGGGCATGTTGGCCCCTCCCGTAGAGAACCTTGCCGAAACAAGTCACGGTCCGCAGGCTACCGTACCAAAAACAGTTGAACCATACATGCGTGCACCAGTTCTTCCAAACGGGAAGGGGTGCTTCGCGGATCAGCCAGCTAGCCGTTTTCGAGGCAAAGCAATACTGTAAGATTGAACTCGGTCGAAACGGCACGCGGGCCCGCCAATGACCGCCACGGTAATCCATACCCTTGCCCCTCGGTAGAAGGAAGCTGGATTTGATATTCGCCCAAGGGTGCCGAAGTGCAGTCCCTCTGCCGCAGACACTCCGAGTCACAGAGAAACACGTCCCCCCAGAAACCCGTTATGCACGAGACCCCATTCTCGACTCTACGTTCAACAACGCTGGGACGGCTGGGATGTGGCGGGGGTGAACGCAGGTGGAGGGTCAGTTGAACCTGCGCGACGCAGCTCGTCGGGATATCTCGTACGTCAGTCCCGACACCGGCAAGCACTACGGGCTGACGAAAGGCGCCAAGCTGGCGGTGCTCCTGGTGCGGCCGCGCGGCTGGCACCTTGACGAAGCCCACGTAACCATAGACGGCAGGTGAACTTCTGTTCTTGCTTTGATTTGATTGGTGCTACTATTCTTGAGGGGTCGGGGTAGAAAATCGAACACGAAAGGCGTCTCCCTAGGCTCCGGGAGCTCCCGCCCCCCTTCCCCCTCCCCGTCTCGGGTAGGCGGTCCCGATGTAGAGATGGTTTTTCTCTTGCGAAACGAAACCGTAAGCCGCACGAGCGACGCGCAACAGCGCCTGACGACGACAAAGAATACTGACAACTGTGCAACGGCTCCTCATCAACCGGGTGTGAAGGGGGGGCAATCAAGGTAACACCGCCGACGCCACCACCAATGTTCTGCATGCCACCCACGACAAACAACGAAAACAATTCCAGGCCGCTCTCAGGCGCCCTGTTCGACTTCGGCCTGTACTTCTTCCACAACGTGTTCGCGCTCATGAAGCGAGGCACGGGGCCGTACTTCTACGTGGCCAAGCTGGAGTCCCACCTCGAGGCCCGTCTGTGGAACGACGTCTTCGTCCTCGCTCAGAAGCTGCTCGGGGTGCCCGTGGGAACCATCAGGTACACAAACTCATTCATTAGAGCGTTTGCACGGCACCAGGCTTCTTTCCGCCGCAGGACGAAGCTTCGCTCCCCTCACTGCAAAATTACCCAGTATCCACCCTCAGACATGGTTGGTTCTCTTTTGTCGTTGTTTCCGCTCGTTTCGAAGGCCTCAGAGTATTGAGAGGGGGCTCGAACGCACCCAGGCCCCCTCTGGCGACCCCCTTCACCCTAGGCTTCCCTTTGCTCCCTTCCTAACCCCTACGTAAAACTCGATTATTTTTTTCGATGCCGCCTCCTGCAGCACCCGAGAGCCCTCTTGCCACCTCCTCTGCCTCAGTCTTCCCTTCCCTCCGACCCTAGCCCCTTCGTAAAGCTCGATTATTTTGTGTCGATGCCGCCTCCTGCAGGGCGACCGCGCTCCTCGAGACGATCACCGCGGCCTTCGAGATGGAGGAAATGCTGTACGAGCTCAGGGACCACTCGAGCGGTCTCAACTGCGGCCGCTGGTAAGCTCGAGAACACACAACACACACAACGATTGAACGTTGTCTGTGTTTCCCGAGCTCAGAGAATAAAATGAGTGCTTCTGTGTCAGCGGCAACCTAAAAAAGGCTCTTGTGATAACGTCCCTTCCCCCTCCCCCCCGGCCGCGCGTACCATCGCCGCCGCCGTCGCCCTCCTGAAAGGGACTACATCTTCTCCTACATCAAGAAGATGCGGGCTCACGCGGACAAGGTCACCCCCGAGCGCAAGTTCCTCACCATGGAAGCCCCGTTCATGGAGGCCTACGTGCAGCTGCTGATCCGCACGTGCCACAGCCGCGGGGCGTTCGCGATGGGAGGCATGGCGGCGCAGATCCCGGTGAAGAACAACCCCAAGCTGGCGGCGCAGGCCCTCGAGAGCGTCAAGAAGGACAAGGTGAATGAGTGACCGGCTGGCTGGTGTAGACGGGCTACTAACGGCTGGAAAGACGGGGGGTGGTCACCGAAAAGCTAACCGCACGCGATCCGCGTCGTAGTTGCTTGGGGTCCAGGGATCGGCGTATGGTTTTGAGGACAAAAGCCCCGAGATAGTCAAAGCTGTCGAGAGGAAGCCTGCTTCTGGAGTAGATAACGAAAAATATTGCCGGAAGGCGTGAGCTGACTTGAGCGGGTCGATGCGGTCGCCACCTGTCCGAGCGGTTGCGGGATGTGTATTGACTGGCGGGTCTCAGCAAAACGCCAAACATTCCCAACATTCCTGTCCGGGGGATTCGAGAAGAAAGGCAATGGTGAGGGCGGCGCCTGAACCAAGAGAGGGTTAGCAAACAGGAAGGAAAGAGAAGGAGCGTCACCAAGCTGTGTTCTCATGTATGCTGCGGCAGAAAAGTCATCGGCATCGCATGTTGCAAAAAAAACACGCCCCCCCCCCCCTCTGAACACCTCTCCAGCTGCGCGAGGTTAAGGCGGGGCACGACGGGACGTGGGTGGCCCACCCGGCCCTGGTGACGGTGGCGATGGAGATCTTCAACGAACACATGCCTCAGCCCAATCAGCTGTCGTTCGTCCCGGAGTGCTCCGTGTCAGCGCAGGACCTGCTGCGGACCCCGGACGGGGGAGAGATCACGTGAGTGGAGGGAGCAAGACAGCCACGACAATACGGCATTTCGATGGAAATCGAGCAGAAGGGTGCCGTGGTATTGCACGCGTAGCCGTGTGCAGCAACAGCAGCAGCAAAGCAACAGCAGCGATACTAGGATGAGACGAGGCGGAGGGCGTTTTTTTTATTCAAAGATGTCTCTACTCGTCGAGCGCGTGTGTACTGGTGCTGGGATGGGGCGGGCTAGGAAAACGTAATGTTGTACGCTGAGAAAGAGGGGTAGGGCATGATGGGGCGGGGCCGCGGGGCACGTATCGTCCGATTGTACGAGTATCAAGCGCCTCGGCGGGTTTCTCCGGTACTATCCGTGCGTTCGATTTTACTGCGGGGAATTGGCATTTTAGAACGAATGTGCGAAATGTCGCCTTCGTCATGACCATCTTGGTGCCGAACTCGTGGCATTCACGCAGGAATGCCGAAGCCACATAAAAATACACCGCAAGATGTGTAGCGTCTTGTCTGCGATCGATCGTCGTCGTTTACGTCCCGTTCGACTGCTATGGGATCGCAGACAACACGGGTTGGAGGAGAACGTGGAGGTGTGCATCTTCTACGTCGAGAGCTGGCTGCGCGGCAACGGCTGCATCCCGGTCAACTTCAAGATGGAAGATGCAGCAACCGCCGAGATCTCTAGGGCGCAGGTATCTATATAGGAGGCGGGCGTCCCCCCCCCCCCCCCCCCCCCCCCCCCCCCCCTCCCCCCCCCCCCCCCCCCATTAGACCCCCCCCCCCCCCCCCCCCCCCCCCCCCCCCTGGGCGCCCGCAGCGTGGAGGCCGCTCTGATGAGGTTCCGCCGGACGGTGTCGAGGTCAGGGCACCTTCAGGAGCTCCGGTGGAAGAGGTACAGTGGGAGATGAGCCTGAACCACAACCGCGCACCGGGACCGTGGATTTTCTTTTGTGCCAGGAATTTTCGTATTGCAGGCCGGGTTTATTTCTATTTCTTTTTGATTTTCGTTGCTATTTATTCAATGTACTACTCGAAGTATATTTTCTGCTATTGGGAGTTTTTTTTTGTTGTTGAGAAAAGGACAACCTTCTCTCTCCAGGACCTCGTTTTGGGCTCGTCGCGCGGAAAGTAAACGTTTAAGCGAAAATACGTCTCCAACGGTCATGTAAGAGGTTCCAACGGTAATACGACAACGCGACGGCCCGAGGTTAACTTCGGCACCCATCCCGTGGTGTAAAGAGAGGGTCTTCCCGTGTTTCGTGGCAAGTCGAGAGAGCCTTGGTAAAGTCAAGAGCAGGCTTACCCCCTTGGCTGGTATCGCGATGTGGTCCTGTTGCCGTATACCGTTGCGTACGCGATGCGTACGCCTGGTCGTATATTCTTACGTGGTACACACGCAGGCACTTCGAGACCACCGCCGAACGGAAGAAGCGCAAGTTCAAGGAGAACAGGCGCAAGGATCGGATCCAGCGTACCCGCGAAAGAAGGGCGAAGGAGATGCAGTTCTGAACTTGTTTTGGGGGGGTTAGAATCGGCATCCCGCAGCGGGTGGGTATTTTTATTCGCACGGTACATTCATGGCAGTCCGTTCACATTCTTCCCCCAAAGGGTATAAAAGTTTGTGATTTCCCGCAGAGGTTTGTCATTCGGCTAGGATATCCACCACGAGTCACCAGCAACGACAACGGCACCGCTGTCGCGTGAAAATGGAGACCCAACTTAGCCGAGTCGTACTTCATCCAGTATGTTGGCTAACCTACTGTAGAGCTATCGTAGCCTACTGATGCGAAAAAGCCAGGCGCTATGTTCGTGGGCACGGTGCCGCCATAGCCAGGAGGTGGAGTTGCGCTCTTTGTTGCTCCTTTCCGAGGGGTGCAAGCGAGATCGTGAGATTTTGTTGGGGTGTACAGCAGTAACAAATCCACCAGCTTTTGCCGGACCATGTGTTTCCGCCGGAAGGTGCCCATCGCGGCAGACCCTTTTTTAGGAAGTTAACATGATCGTCTGCCCGTTCGAGATATAACCACAGCAGTCGAACGGGACGTGCTCAAGTCGTGCAAGAAAATGGACCAACCCTCTAGGAAGCGAGAGCTACACACACACGCTGCTCTTTTTTGTGCCTCGTTCCTTGGCTCACGTGAATTTGTTTCCGCGCCTCCCCTTTCTCGATCATGCCGTACCTGCTATGTACCATGCCTAATGTGTATGCTATCCGCTGCTTGGAAGTAGATGCTCTGTTCTATGTCCACTAGACGCTGACACACTTGACCCACCTGCTTTGTATCATGCCCTGTGTGCTATGCGTCCACTAGACGCGGAAGGTGCCCTTGTGCGCTTCGGCTCAACACTGCCGTCGTCTCCACACTCTCTTTCCCCCCACGGTGCTCCCTCCGCTGTTCTTGCCGACCCACGATTCTACGTCAACCCTATCTATCCCTTACAACGCCGCTTTCCCTTGTTTTTTGTCTTGTTTTTACTGAAGGAACTTCGAGACTGTGGCGGAGAGGAAGAAGAGGAAGCGCGCGATGAACCTGAGGAAGGACAAGATCCAGCGGTCGCGCGAGCGCAAGGCGAACGAACACAAGTTCTAAATTCGAATCCTTTTTTTTTCGTGCATGCTGACGGTTGGGGGAGGGCGGGCGGGGGGGGGGGGGGGGGGGGCCCCCCCCCAAAAAACAACCTTTTTTAAATTAGTGTTTTTTAGAAAAAAAAATAT